CCCCCCCCCCCCCCGCTCTTTACTGTAGATGTATCGTTGTACCAAAATTGGACGCCCTCTTTCAGGACCCTGGCGAAAAGCCTGCTGAAAAGTGTGCTTGACTGCGGTGGCAATCGAACTAGCGACTACTTTGAAATATCATTCTTTTTATGAAAAGTGTTTATCACTTCCTGGGTGTAATTCGATACACTTAGTGTGGTTAATTTCGCTTGTCATCAATGAATTATTACATGCACGTGACAGTGGCGTGTGCTTGCCGTTTGACTCGTATTAGGGGCGGACCGATTAGAAAAGTGGGGGGGGGGAGATAAAAAAATTCGCGCAAAGGAAAACAATAGAAAAAATATTCGTGCAAAGAGGAGAGCAAAGTAAAATTCCTGCCGAAAAATTGTGACTTAAAAGTGCTGACCTAGTTTCTGTTGTGTTATTCACTTATACACAATTGTTCTTCTGAAACTTTCACCTCTGTTCATATGAAATAATTTTGTGTTTTCTATTTAAATGAAGTCGCGAACGACTCGTTTAGACAGCAATTTGCAATAAACCGCGGCTTTATATTCGAGGTTTCGTTTCGTCTGAAGGCCAAAGAGATCAAGTCAAAAAAATTTTCTCAGCTGAACAGTAAGAAATATAACTATAAAGCTACAAACAAAACAACAACAAACAATATGAACTCACGTTTACAATCCCGTAGACAATTGGCGAGAGTTATGTTGTCCAACGAGGTACAGCCCTTAGGATAACGATTACCACATTTTGCGCAACCTTGTAGATTTCTATCGTAGAAAGTCCCGAGTTCACAGTTTTCCGCGCGGGAAAACATTGATAACAATACTAGTATGTGTAACGGATGAAAGATATGTGGCATTGTTGTAAACTTCGCAATTTCCTTTCACAGAATTGATTGAAGATAAAAGACTGCTGTTCTTATTAAGTTCGCGCGTGTTGTGTGCTTAGTAAGCATTTTTCAATGGGTAACCCTGTTCAATGAAGTGAAATTTAATCCGTAAGATCGTATTACAATACATATTTGTCATGAGTTGGTGAACGGCCCATTAGCCCAGTACTAGGCTAGTTAAACGTGATTTGCTGATCAAGACCTTTCAAATACTCTTGATTTGCTTGATGAAAGACAATTTGCAACTGTTCATCGTTAGAAGCAAATGACGGTCCTAATTTCACACGCGTGACTGCACGCGTGTGAGGGATTAACACGCGTGGGGTCCACGCGCATGCCCTGCCCTATTTATAATAATCCGAAAGCAAAGTATTTTTGCTTACCAACCGTTTTTTGTCGGTTTTCTACCGAAAAATCTCTATAGTCTTGAACAGAGCTTAACCCAAGGTTGTCATTGGATTCCTGTGTATGAAAATTGCTCGTTAATTTACTTTTAATTCGCGTTTCTGGTCATGAGTGTTGAGGCATCTGACGCGGAGCACAATGCCGCGAAGGAGTTTATAAATATGTTTGTGGAAAAGAACGGTAGCGTGGTGTACGATGATGTCGAAAGTTTACCTAAACGCTCGTCTTCACTGCATTGTTCAAAGGAGGAGATACAAGGAGAATGCCTGTTTATTGCTTTAGAATATTTGCGTGACAGGTAGGCGTATGTAGTTTAATAAGAACAGCTATAGTTTAGTATAATGCTGTTGTGTGCTATGCAAATAGAATTGCAATTAAATTTGATTATTTTGGTGTGTTTCATTGCAAGTTTCTCAGTAAAGTTAGATGTAATTTATCAGTAATATATACAACTCTATGTTCAGCAGATTGCAGGGCATGTATGCACTTACGAGAATGTTTTTGTTCAATATCTTTGCACACTTGAACAACTGTTTATACTGCAGAACTAGTATTTGTTACATATTTTAGCAATTTTTAACATTAATTCACTAGCACACCAATGGTGCACAATTGATAAACGTCAGCACACTTGCACACCTAAATTTTAATCTTGCACAACCGATATCTTGTCTTGATATGTAAAAGTGGAGGTCATACTGTATAGCAACTAAAATTTTTACATTTGTGAACAGTTTCACTTTGGGGGTAATCCATTTCCTGTTGATCATCACCATTCCTTTATTTGACTCATCATCAGTCTTAGCATTCAACTATCCAGATGACTAGCTAGGATAATGCGATGTTTACTGGCGGCAATCATTCTGGGAACAAATCATGTCTGATATTTTCATGATATAACTTGAACCATCTGTGCCAGTGTGGGTAGAGTGGCAATACTGTAATAACAAAGTTTCAGATTGATAGGGATACAACTACCTGAAAAATACAAGGAGAACTCCAACATTTCAAGTAAAAGGTCCTTCGTCAGGAAGTGAGTAGCCAATTACGTTGAAGCTCTCCTTGTATTTTCCTGATAGCTTGTATAATGATGTATTTATACACATAGTTGGACCACCTGTCAATTTGAACTAGTCAAACACAATTTCATCTGACTGATAGAATTACACAGATTGTACCTCTTGACAGATGATCTGCATATTTTCTGCTTTTATGCATGTTATACAGAGAAATTATTATTATTAGAGAGCTGTATTGAAGAGGTGTCTGTTTTAGAGCTGAAGTGTCCATATTAGAGTGGTGTCTGTATTAGAGTGATATTATTAGAGAGGTGCCTGTATTCTATAAGTGTTCATATTCGAGAAATGTCTGTATTGGAGAGGTTCAGAGGTAGAATCTGCCCGATTTTAAAGTAGAATTGCTCGATTTTTAAGTATAATCTGCCCAACTTAAAAATGATTTGGGGGATGGCCACAGCCCCCCTCTCATACACCTATAGCAGGGTGTTAGCCAGGCGGCCGTCCGACCGTCCTATGGACGGCCACTTCTGCATTCGGATGGCTAAATTTTAATGGACGGCCATGGACGGCCAAAGGGAATATTTTCTTTAAATAGCAATTTACAAGCTTTGTAATATTTCTTGAATACTTCGAATTGTTGTCATCTGCTCTTTACTTTACTTATGGTATATGTTTTCGTACTTTTTCCCGTCGAAAACACATTGAATATGGCTGAATTGAAGTATCAACAGACGCATGTGGATCGAAAAATAAAAAGGTTCAACGAATAGAATACCACAATTCCACAAGAACAAAAAATTGCGGCCACGCCCAAAAACGTGTGACCACGCCCACAAAAATGTGTGGCCACGCCCACAAAATGATTTTGGACGGCCACTTTTGAAATCCTGGCTAACACCCTGACCTATAGAGAGTAAATATAGATCAAGCATGGCCAGGTAAAGGCATAAGCGACTGGTCATAAGGTAAAAGGGGGGTGGGCTGGGAAAAATAGGGGGGTGGGTCACTATTTTTGAGCACGGTTGAAGGGGTGGGTCATCGAAAGTTAAGTGCAATCATAAGGGTGGGCCATGTAAAAATATGCAGAAGATTGGGCCCCAGTGTGTTAAAATTTCTGGGCAAAGAACAAGATATCTGTTTTTTTGGGCTAAGTACCGAAATTTGGTATGAAAAATTAAGATAAAGGGAGGGGAGGTTCTTGTCCGAAAAACATTTTTTCCGGAAAAAATTTGAAAAGGGGTGGGTCCTTATTTTTTCATCACCAATTTAAGGGTGGGCTACAAATTTTCGTGCAGCTATTAAGGGGTGGGCTACCAAAAGTTCAGACACCAAATATATGATTTTCCCAGCCCCCCCCCTTTTACTTTATGACCGGTCCCTAACAGAGGCATAATAGGCATAGAGGTTTCTATATTAGAAACCGATACTGGACAATATGCTGACTGTTTTATTCTGATTATTTTTGTCATAAGTGGTGCATCAGAAATAGTGGCATCAACTGTGGCTCATCGTGCGACAGTCAGAGCACTAGAGTCAGATCTGTCCTCGTTTGAAGAAGATGTCTCTGTATTTGATAAAAGACCAGATTCGGACGAGGAAGATGAATCGAAAATGGATCGAAAAGTCATTAAAGGTGAATGTACAGTTTCAAATGATTTGTATGTACAGTTTCAAATGATTTGTATGTAGATAGTGACAATAACAGACAGCTATGGTGTGAGATAACGTCACTTGAAATCTCTAAATTCTGCCATGTTTTGGACCAGTTTTCTCTACATTGAAAGACAAATTCTGTTCTTGTTTAGCATATAACTGTGGAAAGCTGGCAATAACAACAGTGAACGCAGTTCACGAGGTCTGCAAGGAGTGGAAATCAAACATGCCCAAGCTGATGAAATCTAAATACGTCTACGAGATTTATATGCACTCTGAACAGAATACGAGAAGACGAATGGAAGACAAACATATAGTTTTAACTGAATTTAATAATCTTTGTGGTTTAGATAAGGTTAGTTTTGGTTAGACAAGGTTTTTTTTTAATATAAACTTTATTTGAATGTTTGCCCCCAAAGCCAAGCCTATCAAGGGGGCTCACATATATATATAAAAAAGGATATATAAAATTATTTGCACAAAATAACACACATATATTTAATACAGTACGAGGTATAAATAAACAAACAAAATAAGACAGTGTTACAGAAAAGACAAGACACATAAATGTACAAAGCATTGCTAGGAGAAAACGTTGGACAGCACAGAACAATAAACAATTTTCATCAAAACTTAATTGAACAGAACCGTTAAATAAAAATTCAAGTTTTCCATTGTCGTTGCTCGTTAGCCATGCTTTTCCACAAACTTGTGCAGCAGAGGTAAGAAGTTCATTATGTTGAGCAGCAAAACGAGGACATAATAAAAGATAATGTTTAACTGTTTCATTTTTATGGCAACATATACATAAAGGAGAATTACAACAATTAATTCTATACAAATAGTCATAAAAACCTAATCTTAGTCATGTATGTAAAACAGATGCCTTCCTTGATAAGGTTACTAACTTCCCGACAAAAGATTGTCTGCTTAAGCTCACTATTAACCCATTGAGTTGCATTGCACCCTAGTGTGCTTTACTTTAGTATTTACTGTCTAATGCCAGACAATTTTACTTGTGAATGGGAGAGCGCTGGCAGTCAATGGGTTAACTCCAGAAAGCTGCGGATTAAGAGGAATTCAAGTACCTGAAAAATACAAAGCAAAGGCCCTTTGTTGTTAGCTACTGACTTCCTAATGAAAGAGTTCACTTGAAACATTGAAGTTTTACTTGTATTTTTCTGTTAGTCAAATCCCTCTCAATCCACAGCTTTCTGTGGCATGAAAGACTCATGATCAACCACAATGCAATGCATGCTTTTGTTTACGTTTTCAGTTACTTTCCTCAATAGTTGCCGCCATTTTCGAGGCCACAAAAATGACTGCCTCTGGCCCACAACCAGCGTTGCCAACTGTAATTTTGTAAAAATCCCAAGTAAGCTCCCAAAATATCCTGAGATTCCCTGAAAAATCCCAATATTCCCACTTTTTACGTCATTATAATTTAGGTGGTTTTCGCACCAATTTCGGGTAAGATAGCCTCGTACGTCATGTTGCAAAAACGAAATCTTGCATCAAATACGAGCGGACAAACCCTAGATTTTTAGCAAAATTGTTTATTTACCAAAAATTCAATTTCTAAACTTCGAACTTCCCTCTCTCAAAAATAAAAATAAATCCTGAGATTGACTTTTCAAAATAAAAAAAAATAAAAAATCCCAAGATCTCTGGATAAAATCCCGGACTTGGCAACACTGCCCACAACGTAACAGAAACGTAAACCAACGCATGCATTGCATTTTGATTGATCATGACCCTTTAACAATTATACTACCATTGCCTCACAGCACCCTATCAAAACCCTGGGATATTGTCATATTAATCATACTGTGCATACTTCAACATTTTGTAGGACTTTCCAAGCCAGGCATTCTTTGCAGTATATGATGGGCATGGTGGTATTGATTGCGCTTGTTACACGATTGCTCACTTTCATAACAACATTGCAAAACAAAAGACGTTCTCTTCTGATCTGGACGATGCCTTGCGTAAAGCGTTTTTAACCACAGACAAATTGTTCTTAGAAAAAGCCAAAAATGAGGTAAAGTTACAGACAGTATAATGATTGAAGTATGTTATCACTGTGCATGTGTCTTCCACCTCTGTCACTGGAGTTTGATCTTGGCAATATTTAGTTGTACGATTAGCAAGGGTGGGTAGTAGCGAAGTAGTTGTAGTTCGCTACTGTAGCGAACTACAATTTTCAAGTAGCCAGTAGTTTTTTACTACTTTTTTAAAACAGTAGCTGTAGTTATAGCGAACTACATTTTGCCTAATAGTAGCCAAGTAGTTGACTACTTTTCAAACAGCGAATCGCTATTCGCTACTTTTTAAAATCGTTAGCAACTTGATAGAGTAGAATGATATTGAGACACGGTTTGCTTAAAATCAATACTCAATAGTCAATTTGCACTCCTGAACACTGTAGTGCTTACAAAAATGTTTTGTTGTGTTTACTGTTGCCACTCGTAAGTCGATTTGTTATAGGCTACATTTCAGCCTGAGTTAGTAGATGCTCCAAATACAGTAAAACTAAACAATATAGCGTAGCGAAATAGTCGCTACATTTTTAAAGCAGTAGCTGTAGTCAGTAGCAAACTATCTTTGTTCAAAAGTAGCAGCAGTAGTTGTAGCTGACTACATATTTTTGAAGTAGCTGTAGTTATAGCGAACTACAAAAATTTTGTAGTCAACCCACCCTTGACAATTAGAGTCATTCACATGTGAGAAGGGCCTTCGCTTGAAACATTGAAGTTCTTGTATTATTCAGGTAGTTGTATCCCTATCAATCCGAAGCTTTCTTCCCATTTGACTTTACCAAACACGACAGGTTTTCTCTAGTACTCTACTTTCCTCCTGTAGTATTACACTGGATCAACAAGAGATGACTCTTACTGGACCTCTGGAGAGAAGAGTTTAGAACTGATAGAGCTATCCAGTATAAATAAAGTTAGTTTAGTTTAGGTTTTTTCCTGAGTAACACTGGATCAATATTCAATAAGAGATGATCCTTACTGGACCTCTAGGAAGAACAATTTAGAAATGATTGAACTATCCAGTATAAAATAAAAGTTTGTTCAGTTCGGGTTTCCTCCTGTGGTAACAATGGATCAATAAGAGATGATCCTTACTGGATCTGCGGGGAGAACAGTTTAGAACTGTTAGAGCTATCCAGTATAAATAAATTTAGTTCAGTTTAATTATATGTTTTTCAAAGTGTGGAATTTAGTTTTTTTACAAAATACTTTTTAGAACTTGCGTGCTGGAACAACAAGTGTTGTAGCGTTGTTACGGGATAATACACTACACATAGGTTGGTTAGGGGATTCACAGATATCAATGTGTAAACAGGGAAGAGCAGTGAAATTGATGGAACCTCATAAACCCAATAGAAAGGTATGTTCTTTCAATGTTTTCATGTTTGTTGCAATGGTTGAAAATACTATGTTATTTAGCACTTCGTCTGTAGGGGAGGGCTTTCATGTAGGCATTGTATATGCCTTAGTGTCAGGGCTCATTAATATTTTTTAAAGCCTGGAATTCGTAACTTGAAAATGCGCCTGCAAAATGTCAAGAGCTAAATATTGTTAAAATACCAGCATTTTAAAATGTGCTGCACGAATTAAAAAGGTGCTTACGAGCGGCGCTGGTGCATATTAATGACGTCTGCTGCACAGAATAAGAAGGCACAGCAGAAATGTAACTCAAGCAAGTATTTGTCCGTGTTCTTACAAGCAATTCGTCATCAGTCACGCCATCCTGGCTAGTACAACCGGCACTCAATTGTACCTACCAAAACCTGATAAAAACTTCCGGTTGTACTAGCCAGGATGGCGTGAGCGAGTTAAAATTTTCGTGGACGTAAAACAATAAAGGAACCGACTCAAGTTACACTTCTGCTGTACCTTCCTATTCTGTGTCTGCTGACTGTACTGAAATATTTTGTTTTACTGGCAGGATGAAAGACAACGTATTGAAGAATTAGGTGGGTGTGTGATATGGATAGGGGATTGGAGAGTGAATGGAAATATTGCCGTGTCAAGATCTATTGGAGATAAAGACCACAAGCCGTATGTTTCAGCTGACCCTGATACACTAGAGTTTGATCTTGAAGGTAAATCATAAACAACAGATAGAGGTTTATCTTTACAACAATTGTGATATTACTTTCTTACAGTCAAACCGGATGTTCTCTTGCAAGCAACATTACAATATTGTCCCACAATATTGCAATTTTGATAGACAGATTGCTCTAAGCAATTTGCAACCGACGCGAACAAATTGCAAGTTGAAATTCACAAAAGATTTGTAAACAACGTCTCTGATTGGAGTATTAGCAAAAAGGAAGCCAATCAAATAATCTGAGCAACAGGGTTGGTGCTTCCCTCTCTCTTATAGCCCAATCAGAGGCTTTGTTTACAAATCTTTTGTGAATTTCAACTTGCAATTTGTTCGCGCCGGTTGCAAATTGCTCAGATCAATCTCCCTATCAAAATTGCAATATTGTGGGACAATATTGCAATGTTGCTTGCAAGAGAACATCCAGTTTGACTGTAACTGTGTTTATCCTAACCCACCCTGTCAACTTTCCCTGTGGTCGGAAACCGGAGCACCCGGAGAAAACCCACGACTTTCGCCAGAGCGTTGACTCACTCTTTTCACATGAGTCCATAGCATGGTCTTAGCTAGGATTTTAGATCTTGGGCGTGTTTCTAATGACCAGGGTGTGCACATGTGAATTACCTTGAATAGCAAAATCACGGTTCTAGTTATGCTCGCCAACAACAATGCCTGTGGTTGTTCTACGCTTTGCAACCAAATACAAGGCGAGCATACGCTCATATTGCGCACTGACATTAAAATATTAAGTTATTTCAGCGACTCTTGGGGGTATTTAAAAACCATTTTTCATACAGTTCCCATTATCCATTAAAACATCACAGATCACTTTTGCCAATTCAACAACAACAGTAGATTTTACAAACTTTTTTACGACGTGAATAGCATAGTAAGTAGCACCACCTTATTTTATGAACCTACACGGCCTTATATGAAAGTGAAGCCGCGTTCATCTTATATAGCCGTGTTTTCCCACTTTTGGCCGCGATAACACGGCCAACACGGCCCTCTAGCTAAGACCCTGGTCCATAGCGGGAATCAAACCCACGATCTCAGAAGTGAAAGGCGTTTGCTCGGATGACCACGCCACTGAAGCCGATTTTCCAAAGTGTTGATGCTGACAGAGCAAGAAAATGAAACTACAGTCAAACCTCTATTAAGCGGCCTTCCATTGAGCGGCCACCCTCTATTAAACGGCCACATATCGAAGTCCCGAAATTTTTGTAATACAAATACAGTATAAACTGTCCCTCTATTAAACGGCCGCGGCCACCCAAAGAGCGGTCCCAAATGATGTTTTATGTCAATTTTTACCTCTATTAAACGGCCGGCCTGCAGAATTTTCTTGGCGCAACACCTTGTCAAGAGAGCCGCAAATAAAAGTCGAGCTAATTTGCTTTATATGTAAAATAATGCTTAAAAATTATGTTTTAACACATGCCATTTTACACCTCAAAAGCATTGTCTGTAGTAAAAGTGTCAGTGTTTGGCGGCCTGATATTTCTAAAGTCTTTACTCACTATTGTATTCTGTGATTTATAATTAAAAATAGACATTTGACTGCGCCCAGGGTCTATTATTTGCGTACTTCTATTTAGCGGCCACCTCTATTAAGCGGCCACAAAGCCGATCCCCGAGGGTGGCAGCTTAATAGAGGTTTGACTGTAGTTTCAATTCTATTTATTTGCCTCCAAATACAAGACTACTACATACTGTATGATGAAAATAATAACATTTTCTCACTCTGATAACTGCAGGTTCACCACCATCTAATAACCTATCAATTATTTTAGGTGATGAAGAATACCTTATCTTAGGTTGTGATGGATTATGGGATACTATTCAGCCTCCTAACGTCATTGAGATGGTTCAAGAGCATTTAGCCGGTGGTGGGGCCCGTTCGCAGGTCGCTAAATTTCTCGTCGAACGCGCGATAGCTCACGGCTCCACGGACAATATCACTGTGGTTGTCGTGTTCTTAGATTGTCATAGAACTGAGAAAGATCCAGAGACCTCAATGGACGTGGGTGAAGTAGAAGGAACTGGGGATGAGAAAGTTCCAGAGACTCCAGCGGCCGAGGGTACGGCAAAAGAGACTGGAGACGAGAAAGCTCCAGAGACTGCCGCGGCCGAGGGTGCAACAAAAGAGACTGGAGACGAAAAAACTGAAGCTGTACCATAGAATTAAGGTGGTTGCTGCATAGATAATAGAAAAAGACCAGAGTGTAACAATAGCCGGAAAAACTGAGATCCCTAAACATTTCTAGTGATTCATTTTACCACCAATGGCTTGATTATAGAGAGATAGCCCCCGTTCCAACTAACGGATAGCGTCATTTTCGTTGTTTTTCAATTTTCATCGATGTTGGTATGTTTTACTCGCCGTCCGTGCTCTTTCGCAATACACTTTTTGCAATCTCGTGCAAAAATAATGAGACTTTTGATATTTCGTTCTATTTCCGTGATTACTTCCCCCCCCCCTCCCCTCCCTCTATACATTGTTGAAAAAAATTTGACCTGACAATATACCTTACTCCTTAGTGTATCATTTGTCCAACATTGTTTGTGAGAGGAGGGGGAGCAGTGACATAGTTGTCTGTTGACATAGGCCATCGCGAAGATATGATGGGACGATACTTTTCGCAACTGCCCTGGCGAGGGAAGACCCCAAAAATAGCTCACACTGGCCCGCGTTGGAAAAGCTAATTATGTCAACACAAGCGAGAATTACAGAACAAATGATGCTATCCGTACCAGGGGGAAATCGGAACCTCTGTATCTTAAACTCTCAAATCTAAGAGACAATTAAATTGCTAGTCGATCAGTTAGTTTTAATTCCATTAAATTATACAAATGTTTTTTTACTAAATTTTCAATAATTGCCCTGATTGTAGAGAACATTTCTGTGGTGTAAATAACGAAACATAACTTTAGTGGAAAAAAACTCAAAAGATCTTGTAAATATATAGTAGACAAGTAGCCTTAGTAAGTCATTAAATTTTGCTCGAAGTATTTTTAGAAAACTTGCGTGTTTTTCATGTATCAATTTTTGTACACTTTCCATAATCGCAGGTTTCCTGCCAGAGGGCAGAGGGCCTATCTAACGGAACCTCCTGAAGCCCCCCGTCAAATTTTTAAGTGGGGCGCAGAATTATGGGAAAATGAACTGGTGTGGCACACTGGCGTACAAAAAATTATTTACTTGTGCACATGCACTACAACGTTCTATGTCTGTATTTCAACCATTTAATAAAGGGAATTTGATTGAGCACTGACTGACCGTATTTCAAATGCTTGTGTGATGTCAACCTTGTTCCCAGCTGCGCGGTAGCTCAGTTGGCAGAGCATTGGGCTAGTATTCCAAAGGTCGTAGGTTCAAATCCCACCGTGGCCAGGCATATTTTTCAAGCTTGCCCGGTGTGGATATACAGTCAGAGTAACATCGCACAAGCATCTTATTCACCTGAGTACATTACACCAACACAGCAAATATCGTATTTCAAATGTTTAGCATTTGTGCGGCTACTGGCGCATGTTACTGAACCGTGGTCAAATCTTCGGCGCACAACTGAAAACAAAAATTTATTCGTTCCCCGTCGCAAAAAAAATTTCGGTCAGTGTACCATCTTAGGGGTCAAAAAAATTTTCCGGACAACTAATATTTTTCGGAACATAACAGAAATTTTCGAAAAATCACAAAATTTGCCAAAAAATTGACAGAATTTGTGCCATTTTTTTTTATTGCAAACCAAAATTGCCCGACTGTTCATCGAATATTGCCCGACTGCCCAAAAAACTGGGGGGGCTACCGCCCCCCCCGCCCCCCCGCCTGGTACGCCTATGATTAGAGGATAGCAATGGTCAGGTGTGTGTGGGTGTACTCCCCCTGAAAATTTTTGAAATTTGAACCACGGAAATGCCATTTCCTGCATTCTGAGCATCCAGATTTGCTCTAAAATTTATGCTAACTATACTTGTATTTGAAATAAAAGATGGAAAAATGCACAAAAAGTAAAAAAGAATATTAACTGTAATTTATCATTACTTATTAGAGGGATAATCCCAAGAAAATTTTTGAAATTTGAAACCGTGAAATGCTATTTTCTGCATTCTGAGCATCCAAAAAAAAAAAATATATTAACAATAATTTATCATGGCTTAGTGGTAAAAAAAGTAACAATTTAAATCGATTTTGTTAAACAAGAACAAAGGATAAAGCCTAAAACTTACTTTCCGTTTATCTATTTGTTAATCTTCGCTGGATTGTTTGTATAATTTTAGGAAAAAGGGACTTTTCCTGGGGGGGGCAAAATGTGATTTCGTGGGGGGGCACAAGGGGGGACTGGAGGGGGCAAATGCCCCCCCAGCTTGTATGTTAAAAAAGGCCCTGTTATTACCTTCCGATGATTCGGTCCGGATAATTTTGTCCTGAATAATCTTGAATAAATTAATTCGCTGCTGGAGACCTGAGTTCTAACCAAAACATTCAAAATGGAGTCATTGTTTTCACTTTTGTTGAAATAAAGCAGTTTATTTTGCGCGACAACAGCTTAGGACAGCCGAAATAACAACATCATGGATAAGAAAGATGGAGTAAAGGTATAATACTTTCATTGTGATTGCTCGCTTTGGTTAAACTTTTAAAGAAATACTGAACAGAAGTTCCAAGCATCAAACTTTATACGTCGGTTTTAATAAAGTTGCAATGATTTGTTGGTGTTTTTTGTTAAATACTAAAACATTTAAAACTTTTATTAGACTTTATACTTTGTGCTAACTACTTTAAGCTTTAAATTATCCATTTGCTAACTACTTTAAGCTGAAAATACATAAAAAATGAATATTGCCCGCTGCATGATATAACTGCATGATGATAGTGCTTATGAATGAAATCCATCAACAGTGGCGTAGCCAGCCCGACAATTTGGTCCCGCTATGCAAATTCAAAAATATTATCATTATTCATTTCTTTAGAAATTGATTGTTTTCACAGTCAATGAACACAAAAATATTTGCATAGCGGGACTAAATCGTCGGGCTGGCTACGCTACTGCCCATCAATACTTGCATTATTTAAGTATTCTGTAGAAAACATATTGAAACATCAAGGTATATAATCACTGCATTGCATACTTCAATTTTCAGGTCCTCAGTGAGGTTTTTCGATGTTTCCGATGTTTTATATGTATGGAAAAATTGCAAGATGCTCGGATGTGCCCACATTGCTCCAAGCTTTGTTGTTTAGCGTGTATTCAGGTATATTTTACAAGATTGTGCATACATACGGTTAGAAAGTAACCGACTTCCTGAAAATATTCCTGAAACTAGCACATCTGAATCCCCCCAAGAAATTTTGAACCCTATTGGAAAATATCTGTGCTAAAAATCTTGTACCCCAGATAATATAAATGTTCTATTGAAATCACACCCACCCCCCTGAAGGTCTGAATTTTCACTGGAAATAACACACATCCCACCCTCTCTGGAACATGTCAGTAAAAATCTCCCCCCTCCCTGGAAATCTGAAATGTTA